GCAACAGTCACATTGCAGGTTTCGATTAAAGATTCAAAAAATAAAAATATTGTAATATATGTTTTTAAACTTTATATAATGATGGTCATGTTATTTTACATTTGATTGTTCAATTTATGTACTTGAATACTGTTAGACTCCGAATAAAAGCATAAAGCACTGTTTACTTCACTTTTAATTTTGTTCTTTCATATTTATTTGCTTGTTGTTTATTGTTTTATTCAGATGCACTACATAGAAAAAGCCTTAACCATCCCAGTTGACCTAAATGAATGAAATCATCCCAAAAAGAGCTATTCAGATCATCTATTATATTCGTATTGCTATATATCTCTACAAAACAAAATAACATAATGTCAGATTTTTCCAATATAAAGCAGCCCTAATAGCTTTCTTGCAGTGGGTAATGCAGATGTCTTTCTGCAAAGTAAAACAATAAATAAATAAATAAATAAATAAATAAATAAATAAATAAATAAATTGTAAGTTTTACACAACAAAGTTATTGTCTCCTGAAGTGAAGTTTGACAAACTAATTTCGAGAGAAGCACGTAATATGATTGATCGCAGCTGGTCTCTCATCCATAATCAGCAATAATCCAATCAGATTGATGCAAGCCTACAATAAATAGATCGATTTTACCCTACTGCCTTTCTTCATTTTGGAAGAATCCCCCCTTCCGCCCCATCTCCTCCTTTTCTACCAAGGGGAGCTCTCAAGACCTGATCTCAGACCTCCTTATACGCTTATTGATGAGGTGGGAATCCTGGGCTCAATTATCTCCAAGCTCAAGGTTCTCTCCCAGGACAGCATGCCAAAACCAGCTAATAACTTCAAATCTTATCTAAGTGTGAACTCTTGAAATAAATAATTAATTCTAAACTGTCAAAAAAATTGTGAGCAATTACAGTAGTTTCATTCTTTAACTGATCTACATAGATCTGTAACATATTAGCATAATGCCAGCCTAGTCTTCACTGGCTGCTCATGAACACCTACTCAAACACTTCAGCTGTCCAGAAGATGAATTTACTGTCAGGGTAAAACATTTATTCTAGTGTGACTTATGCACCTAAAAAGTCCTTGTTGTTTATAACGAGAGAAACTCTGGCATTTTATGATTGGCCGTTACATTCATAAGCTCTACAGAAACATGTAATTGGTTATTATTCGCAGCCCTAGAAGAAATATGTGCAATTTTTACCTTTCACTTTAATCACAACAGTCATGATACATATCTTTAATTGCACAGAGATATGTTTGCCCTTTATCCTACAGCAGGTTATTTTCGTTTTAGTGGCATTTTTCATTCAGTAACTCTGATTCTGTTCATTTTTAATACTGATAATCATTCCTTTATAGCAGGGGTTCTCAACTGGTTTGGCCATGGGACCCACAATTTTACATGGTCATCAAGCCGCGACCTACATTTTTAGGAACTATAATACAATTTTAGGAATTATACTTAATTTGTATTTATTTGTTAACATACACAAGTAGTGACAGATACATCATAAGAAATTCACCAAGACTTACAAGTAAACACAATTTTATTGCTGTCATTTAACAAAAAGGATCAAATTATAGAAATATTACAAAGTAAAAATGACAAATACTGTTAATTATAAACTTAATAAAACATGTTTTCTGGTTTCTAAATGTCGTTTTAATTTAGAGAGTTTAATGCTCTTATGAGAGCACCTCAGTACATATGACACTGAGGCTTTAAGTCTTTTTTGTCTTCAATACTGTATATATATATATATATATATATATATATATATATATATATATATATATATATATATATATATATATATATATATATATATATATATATGTATATATATCCATACTTTACATATTAGGAGTCATACTTGCGCGTTGACATATTTGTTGCAATAATTAGATGAAATTTCACATGTCAAACAGTAGGGTTGTTGCACGCATTTCAAAATAAAAGTCCGGTACAAGCAAAATAAGTAAAAAACATAACTTATGTTGTTTTTTTGACCACACACTCCGTGAACCACTTAAAATGTTCCAGTGGGTCGCGACCCACCAGTTGAGAAACACTGCTTTATAGTGTATGTAGAGGAATTGCACATACCTTATAAGTTATAAACATTTTATTTCCAAGAATCCCATTACTTGTTGAATTACTTTATATATTAGTGATTATTTTAATTCACTGAATTCCATTTCCCATTCAATGTTTCCTACAATGTTGCCGTTTCAATTCAAACTCCAACTCGAATAAATTTTAATGTTCATTATTTTTCACCTGCTGATAATTTAATCAGTTTTTTCAACCTATTTTTTGCTCTCATACTACTTAAATTATGATTAATCTAATATTTATCAGCACTTCCTCGTCCTCCAAATAAAAAGATAAAAAGACATGAAGTGTTTTTCATTTTCATGTACAGCCTTGTCTAAAAATACCATTGCCAGATAGTTATTTAATATACAAAACATTTGCATTGAATTTCCAGTCAAAATGACAACATTGTGACCTATACACATACCAAGACGCAAGATGTCGGTCACTCTGCCCACGCCTAATGATTTTTTCCAGAATTGGCGGTTGTTCAGATAGAACCATACGAGCGTGTGTGTTCGTTTATGTGCTAATGTCCTTGTCACCTTCCCTTTCAATGCTTCTCCTACTGCATCAGCATTCATAATATCACCTCTCATTAACACAGAAAAATTACTGACAGAGAGAAAGAGAGCGAGAGAGGTACAGAAAAAGAACGAGAGGAAAGAGAGATGCATAGCGAAAGAGAGAAGGACCGAGAGGCATGAAGAGACTCTTCATCTTCACCTCCTGCAATCACTTCATCCATATAAAGAGCCTCCGATCCCACTCTCATCTAGATCCCACAGCTGAGACCCTCTGAACTTATAGACAGGTGCTTCATTTCGAGATCTCAATCTCTCCATTGCGGATTACACAACACGTGTACAAGACCACACACACGCTGCATCCCAATTGGCTTACTTTGACTGCATACTAAAACTATGCACATTATTAAAGTCAGTATGGCAACTTTTGGGAGAAACCACAACTGTAATGGAATATTCTGGATTTAGGAGTCAATTGTGCTTGTTTAAAAATGAGCTAAACTATCTAAACATCAAATTTCTCTATATTTAAGGCAATATTTCACCATAAAATAAAAATGTGCTCTTGAAACTCTTGATCTTCAGAGTTTGTTTCTTTAGCAGAACAATATAGATTTTGAGCTCATTCACAATAGTATGGAGTGATTCATAATGCTGTGCACGTGTGCAAACTCGCACACAAGCTGTTACTATTTGTTTACAACTTTAATAAAGGTTGCAGCTTCCGCGATAAACAAAAGTTTACTTGAGTCCCATACAATCATTACACAACAGTAAGCTTGTGCTCAAGACTTGTGAATGCTCTCAGGACTGTGCGGATTACTATTAATATTTGTGTTTAGCTTTTTGCACAGATTAACTGTTTCAAGTATTTAAGATCTCAAAGTATCATTAGGAGCAACTGGCATCCATTTTGTAAAAAAAAAAAAAAAAGCTAAATTACCTAAGATTAGATAATTTATCATGAAATATTGATGTTTTGGTGAACTATAATTTTAAGGGTATTATGACAATGGTAATAAATAAATAAATAAATAAATAAATAAATAAATAAATAAATAAATAAATAAATAAATAAATAAATAAACAACTTAATACCAATAACTTTAAATTCTGAAGTGAGCAATTCCATGCAAATGTCAACCTTTGTCAAACCGTTTCTGCATTTTTTTGTGCAAGCAAGTATTTTACATTGCTTTAAAATGCTCAAAAATGTCTCCGTTAATGTTTTCAAACAACTATATTTGATTTACCAAAAGTTCCACATCGGTCACATCCTTAACGGAGCTTTTTCCTCTTAATGCAAAACATGTCAAATAAACTAAAATCAATCATTTTGGTTCTATAGTGAACCACCTCTATTTCTTTTGATAAGCATTATTTATTTCGGGTTGTGCAGTTGAATTCACAGAATTTCTACAAAGTCTGTTGTATACTGTAAACTCGCAGACATCTTTCTGATCCCATACTTCTTTGGTTAGTTGTTTTGAAAACTATAAACAGATGTTTGAATATAAATATTAACAAATACTTTCTCTGTGAATTTATGTTTTGAGATTTTACTGTAAATGTCACATCCATAACGCTGGAAGAGCTCAAATGTGTTGCCATTTTTTCAGCATTATTTCTAAAATAACTTTAAGGCATCATGTACTGTAATTATAGATGCACTGATCATATGTGGAATGGATTGAGGTAAAGTTGGTTTATATTCACACATTCATTTATTCATTTTAACTCCATGCTGTTTACAATGCTACTTTAAATATTCAACCTGAAATCTTATGTAATTGTGACTTTGAAACAACATTAGCTCGATTCAAATGACTGTAAACAATGTTGTACTTTAACAGTCATCGGCTGCTAACGATTTCCTTTTTCAGAATTTGCAAAGAATACTTTTCTGAAATAATATTATTAAGGAGAAAGTCAGAATGTGCGAATATAAGACCATATTTACCTCAATTATATAGTATATGAACACTAAATTAATAAAAAAAACAGCCACATACAAGCTCATGAATATATCCATTGAGGTATTATAAAGACTAATTAACTACTAACACTAAATTATACCTTTTAAGATGTTATATTTTTAATGAATACATTATTTAATGAAGCTTTTATATCATAGGAAAGGCAACAAAAGAAGCTCCATGCAGCTTTTGGTGTTCTTCAGAGGATACTTAGGGAACTCCCAAGGAGGCTAACAAAACAAAGACCTTCCTCTGACTTTTTATGCTAAATGAAGCTAATTAAAATGACTACAGACCTTTGAGGGAACATTTGGTCCTTATGAGGAAAGCCAAAACCTGCCTCACACACACACACATTGCGTCCCAGCAGCAAAAGAAAAGAGTGCAAAACTCACGTCGCGGAATTTGTTCCAGTATTTGCTCTTGTCGTACTGGGACACGGTGCTCATCCACTTATCATTGTCCAGCGGGTTCCCGTCACTGCTGCCGGTAACGGACACCGTCAAACCCACCAGAGACACGAACAAACCTAGACTCAACATCATCTGAGAAAGACAGAGAGAGGACAGCGGGTAAAATTAGACAGACAGGGCACCTGAGGTAAAGACGCCAACAACCCTTTCGAGACGACTTCCGTTTAAACACGCCCAATAATATTAAATATTAAAAAGCTCACGTTAGTTCTTATCCAATAAACAACTCCAAAGCGTCACGGGCACAGGGTGAGGATTATTTCTGGATTATAAATCCGCTGAATATGTTTATCTGATATAATTAATCGTCCCCGAGGAGAAAATCCTGAGGCTGACTGACAACAAGCGAATAATAATAACGGACTTTAACGGCCACTCTCCTCGGGCACGAGCTGGCGTCTGCTTTAATTAGCTTCGACTGTTTGTTTGCTTCACTCACCTTAAAACGTGGGAGAGTCCTCGGTTCCAAACGGAACGAGTGATTGGAGCTCCGTCTGTGGGACCGTAAAGTATCCGAGACACGGGAGAGTACCGAGAGTTTCCTCAGATCCTGCTGCACTGAGCGCGACCGAGAGAAACGGAGCCGTGTAATGGAACGGTGCGCGTGTCCGCCCACTCTCAACCGTAACTCCGCCCACTTCCCTCGATTTCTCTCTCCCTCTCCTTTTAAAGTGACGAAATATTAAACTGTTTATATATATATATATTTGATCACATGACGTAAGTTAACTAAACAAACCAAAGCACAATCGAAGTTTATTTATGATTTTAGATGTCTATTATAACCTGAGCTTGTAGTTTTGCTTTCGCTCGCATCACACACACTTTTTCCACTCAGAACAAAGGGAGTGGTGGTGCATTCACTGGGGGATAAACGGTGTGCTGGAGGTGATACGCAGGTGTTGACTTTAAGCTGTAAAACATCCTGTGCGGTGCGGAGGGAATCAATACCGGGCCCTCACTCCCCCTGATCACTCCTAACAAATTAAAAGCAGCCCCGGTTTTCATTTGGAATCAGCCTGTAATGGCTCTAAACTGCCGGCTGTCCACTGCGGTGATTTCAGCTGCAGGGGGAGACTGATGGGAATATCGGCTCATTTTTAATTAAACGGAATAAATAAGTCAATAGATTAACTTCATTAGTAAACATAGCGCGGAGGAAGCATATTTGTAAGGTGTTCTCTCTCTGTGTGTGTAGTGCAGTGGTTCAGGACCTGTGTGTGTGGGGAGGGGGAGCTGTCCGTTCAGCACCACACACGCAACGCCTCTTTACATTGCACATAAGAAGTCGCTTGAGATGTGTACACGCCACAAATATGAGTCTAGACATGCTTTTAAATGCTGCAAAGGCGGCATAATTGCATTTATGAAGACATTATATGGCAGGAATAACGTTGTGAGACTCATTGCACAAAGCGAGAGACCAATACGAACAAATAAAGTGCTGTAAAATACAGCATAATATAATAGTGATGAAAAGAATACGCACGTGCTCGTCCTTGAAGAGTTCACAGTCTGAAAGGAGTGTTATTAATGTTATTACAGTTTGTTTAACACACACGCACACACGCACGCACGCACGCACACACACACACACACACACACACACACACACAATAGTTAACATTTAAAACAGATCAAAACCAAATTAAACACCCATTCTTGTCTTCATTTTGTCTTAATCAATTTTTTTCATCTACACTTACTGGCCTCTTTGTTAGGTACACCTGTCCAACTGTTCTTTAACGAAAATTTCTAATCAGCCAATCACATGGCAGCATTTCAATGCATTTAGGAATGTAAACATGGTCAAGACGATCTGCTGCAGTTCAAACCGAGCATCAGAATGGGGAAGAAAGGGGATCTAAGTGACTTTGAACCTGGCATGGTTGTTGTTGCCAGACGGGCTGGTCTGAGTATTTCAGAAATTGCTGATCTGCTGGGATTTTCCACACACAACCATTTCTGGGGTTTACAGAGAATGATTCGAAAATGAAAAGGTAATATCCAGTGAGTGGCAGTTCTGTGGGCGCAAATGCCTTGTTGATGAGGTCAGAGGAGAATGGCCTGACTGGTTCCAGCTAATAGAAAGGTAAAAGTAACTCAAATAAGCGCTCGTTACAACTGAGGTATGCAGAAGATCATCTCTGAACACACAACACGTCCAACCTTGAAGCAGATGGGCTACAGCAGCAGAAGACCACACCTGGTGCCGCTCCTGTCAGCTAAAAACAGGAAAATGAGGCTACAATTCACACAGGCTCACCAAAACTGGACAATAGAAGATTGGAGAAATGTTACCTGGTCTGATGAGTCTCCATTTCAATATCAATTTCAGTATCAATGGCTTTGGCTGGTGATGGTGTGATGGTGTGAGGGCATTTTCTTTGCACACTTTGGGCCCATTAGTACCAATTGATCATCATGTCAACGCCACAACCTACCTGAGTATTGTTGCTGACCATGTCCATCCCTTTATGACCACAGTGTCTCCATCTTCCGATGGCTACTTCCAGCAGGAAAACGCACCATGTCAAAAAGCGAAAATCATCTCAGACTGGGTTTCTTAAACATGAGAATGAGTTCACAGTACCTAAATGGCCTCCACACTGACTAGAACTCAATCCAAGAGAGCACCTTTGAGATGTGGTGGAACGGGAGATTGGCATCATGGATGTGCAGCCGACAAATCTGCAGCAACTGCGTGGTGCAATCATGTCAATATGGAGCAAAATCTCTGAGGAATATTTCCAGTATCTTCTTGAATCTATGCCATGAAGGATTAAGGCAGTTCTGAGAGCAAAAACGGGGTCCAACCTGGTACTTGCATGGTATACCTAATAAAGTGGCCGGTGAGTGTACTTTAAATGTTGACTACTGTATGCGTGTAACCCAGTATAATACATTCTACAGGTATATTAATCTTGTGAAATTATCTTAAGGTTATTTATTTAGTTATTTATTTTACTTCTAAAACAGAATTAAATCTAAAATGAGATTTGTGTCCATTTGTGAATGAATATGTTAAATAAATATGTCAAGTTTTTCCCAATCTTTACATTTCTATTCTAATCAAATCCATTGTATTTTCTGATTTATCTAAGAATTCATTTCTGGTAATTTATTCAAACTTGGGAAAGATTTATATTCAGATTTACCTTATTTTAACAGAGAATAACCTCACTGAATTATATCAGAGGGGCCTACCTCAGCATATCTGTAGGCATTTATTTTATTGAACCTGAATCGTAAACTTAATACACATAGGTTGCACAACATGAGGTTTACAGGGACACAAAGTTGTATAATGACATGGGTATGACCTAGTTGCACTCTATTAAGGTGGTTTACAGGGTCACACTTCATGTCCCTGCAATTCAACTCCTTAAAACTCATACTTAAAGCATTCTTTTGAAAATAAAATAAAGCAGTTTTACAGAATTAAACATATAACACCTAAGAAGTGTCCCCGTAAACCATGTCTTCAAGTGTGTGTATGTAATTGCATTATGAAAATAGGCTTAACATGTATACCTAAGAAATAAAATCATAAAGTCTTACTAGGTTGAAATACTAGCTCTCATTTACATTTTTGTTACATAAGATGCATGTTCATACATATAAATACACTAATGTTAAGATCCAATCACAAGTTGCAACAGCCTAAAAGTCATTCTAGAGAGAAAAAAAGGAAAGAAAATGAAGTGACACACAAAACAAACATAAATAATAATAATGAAATTAAAATGAAACTGTATTACTGATAAGCCAAACAGCATCAGAGTCTGACACTACATGTAGGTGGGTCAGGATTCTGCTTTTATGCAGCCTCGATATATAACAGCTTTGACTCAATTGTGTAAAGACACCTTTAGAGAGGTCCACATTAATGCATTACGGCAGACGTTTTAAACTACTTAATGTAACAGTTTATCACTAGATGCATTGAAATGGAACTAATGCCCTTGGTGCATCATGCTTTATCAGCGGAGTCACAGTTCTGTGTGCATTAATGCATCTACAGCGAAGTCACAGGAACTGAAAGTGACTTTAATGTAGAGTCATGTTGACCCGGTGTGACTCAATGGTTAAATATTTGTGCTGGTGGCAGACTACAGAGCATCCGCGAGTCAAATTCAACACTTTTAAAGACCATTGTGAATTCAATTTTAGACTTATACAAGGCTAAACACTCAGCGTAGAACATATTTTACTTGCCCCATCAACAAAATTTTAATTAGTTTGTTTCCTAGCCACATATTTTAAATAATGTCTCAAAACATGCAAACTCCGGTTGTATATACCGGCCACTTTATTAGGTACACCTGTCCAACTGCTCATTAATGCAAAATTTTTAATCAGCCAATCACATCTCAATGCATTTAGGCATGAAGACATGGTCAAGACAATAAGGGATATTCTTCGGCGCACTTTGGGCTTATTAGTACCAATTGAGCATCGTATCAACACCACGGCCTATCTGAGTATTGTTGCTGACCATGTGCATCCCTTTATGACCACGGTGTACCCATCTTCTGATGTCATACAGTGTGAATCATCTCAGACTGGTTTCTTGAACATGACAATGAGTTCACTGTACTTAAATGGCCTCCACAGTCACCAGAACTCAATCCAATAGAGCACCTTTGGGATGTGGTGGAAGGGGGGATTCGCATTATGGGTGTGCAGCCTTCATGCAGCAACTGCATGATGCTATCATGTCAAATTAGAACAAAACCTCAGAGGAATATTTCCAGTATATTGTTAAAACTATGCCATGAAGGATTAAGGCAGTTCTGAAGGAAAAAGTGGGTCCAACCTGGTTCCAATAAGGTGTACCTAATAAACTGGCCTGTGAGTATACATGATCTGGCAAATCTACTATCATTCATTCATTTTCTTTTCAGCTTAGTCCCATTATTAATCTAGGGTTGCCACAGCAGAATGAACCGCCAACTTATCCAGCATATGTTTTACGCAGCGGATGCCCTTCCAGCCACAACCCAACACTGGGAAACATCCATACACACTCATTCCCACTCATACACCATGCACAATTTAGCCTACCCAAATCACCTGTACCACATGTACCAGAGCACTTGGAGGAAACCCACACGAACGCAGGGAGAACATGCAAACTCCACACAGAAATGCCAACTGACCCAGCCGTGGCTTGAACCAGCGACCTTCTTGCTTTGAAGCGACAGCACTACCTACTGCACCACTGCGTCGCCCAAATCTACTATCTATAAAAGTATATTTATTTACATATAGATATGTATACATAGAGATATATCCATGTGTACGCATACATATATACACACACACACACGCACAATATCGTACATGCATTAAAAACAATGTAAATAAAAATTTAATTTTAGTTTTGTGTACTTGCTTTTATATCCTCCTGGGGACTTAAAACTGAATTAAGGCAGTTCTGAAGACAAAAGGGTCCAACCCGGTATTACTTAGGTGTACCTAATGAAGTGACCGGTTAGTGTGTATATATATATATATATATGTGTGTGTGTGTGTGTGTGTGTGTGTGTGTGTATTTAGTTATTCATAATATTATTATTATTATTTTATTAATTCTGTCTAGGTCAGTGTCCTCAACAGGTGCCTATAAACACAATAACATTTTAAACAAATGTT